TTACGAAAATAACAAAATAATTTATTACTCAAATAAAAATTAGACAACTAAAAAAAATAATAATGAGACTCTAATAATTCGGGTGAGATTCTATTGAGAACGCCACTGAAAGCACATGGCGTGAAACACAAATTTTAACTCTTTCCTCAATATACAAAGTCAACGACAGACGCAAATTGTTCGTAATAATGAATTTCTCAAAATTTTACTATCGAAATACACGCCGTTCGTTACTCTTTAAACTCTCACAATACAATTCTCAAATCATATATGTATACTCTCTACACCGGCGTTCTACGCACTCTCTTGGCCTTTTTCATACAGCAAGCACATGTTGACTCAAAACGGAAATGAAAAATCAACACACAAACCAAAATTAAAAACAATTAATAATACTCGTTAGCATATAAAATAAACTTTAAACTAGATATTAATTACTCTAAGCAAAATAAATTTTTGTAAGAAAGAATTCAAAATTAAACAATTTTTCCAAATAATAATAATGAATAATTCAAATATCGAACGGAAACGTCCATTTTTATCGCAGGGGCGGAACTATATAGGGCGCTACAATAAAATCACAATTTATAATCGCCAGTGACAAACCACTTTGTCACAGTACCTAGAAATAAAATAGAAAAAATATAACAGAAAATTAGTTTTCTTGTGGAATATTATATGAACTAGCAACAATTCGCGATTAACTTTTTATTTACCATTTTATATAAAAATAAGAATTTTAAAAATAATAGAATTAAAAAATTTATAATTTTAACTTTTTTATGAAAGTAAAATATGAATTAGAATTCAATTACTATTAATAACTATAAAATCAATTTTATAATTAAGAAATTATAGTTTCTATAAATTAAATTCTTTCTTAAGGTCCTTATTTATTGAAAATAATTTTAGATAATTTAATTCATTGAAAATTTTATGACTTTTAACAAACAATTTTGACATTTATATAAAATATATTAAAATATATTAAATACAGGAAATATTTTTCGTTACTTTAAAGTTAAGTGTTTAATGTGTAATTATCAATAAAAGTGGGGATATTTTCTATTTCTTAATCGTTATATTTTAACAATATTCTAATTTTGTGTAAAAATAATGAAAAAATATGTATAATTTCGAATTGATAAACAATAGAGGTGTGCAAAAAGCTCGAAACCCGAAGCTCGAGCGGGTATTTTCGAGCTTTTCATTTTTCGAGCCGAGCCGAGCCGAGCCTATTCAGTTCGAGCTCGAGCCGAGCTCGGGCCGAGCCAAGCTTTATAAAAAGCTCGAATAATTTCGGGTACTCGAATTTTTCGGGTACTCGAAATTTTCGAGTACTCGATTTGATTCGAGCCCTTGAGAAAGTCCAAAATTTTCTACATTAATTTTTAATTAAATTTTTTTTTGTAAAAAAAAAAATTTTTTTTAATTTAAAAGCTCGAATTAAATCGAGTACTCGAAAATTTCGGGTACCCGAATTCATTCGAGTACCCGAAATATTCAAGTACTCGAGTGAATTCGGGTACCCGAATGTTTCGGGTACTCGAAAATTTCGGGTACCCGATACATCGAGCCCGGCTCGGGCTCGGCTCGGCTCGGCTCGAAAAAATTGCGGCCCGGCTCGGCTATTCGAGCTTTTTGCACACCTCTAATAAACAACAATTTTTAACAAAAGTTGTGATTTTCTTTAAAAAAAAAGGAAAACATTTGCAATAATTTCTTTTTAGGATTTTTTTAAAGAATATTTTCATTTTCCTATGAAGTATTTATAAAATATTGCTTTATTACTATTGGGAAAAAAATGGTTTAAAATATTAAGATAAATTGCAGTTTGTAAATTGTTTTTTTCAAAACAGATAAAAATAAATAATATCTACATTTTTCATAATTCTTCCCTATGAAAATGTCCTTATAAAGAAATATCCAGATTATTAAGATATTGAAAAAAAATGACAAATGAATAAAAAAATTTTTACGAACATTTTAAAGAGGAAAAGAAGAAAGATTTCTCAATTTTGTTACATAGATAAATTTTGGCAAATTTCTATGTATATCAAAAGAACTGTACTTTCTTTCTGTCTTCTTTTTTTCGTGTTTGATGTTCAATGAAGCGTTATCGATCATTCAAATGAAGTAAAGGAACGAATAGGTCAGAGAAGGAATCTCCTAGACCCCTGGGAGCGATTTGCTGGAGTGGTTTGCAGCTTCCATTTGTGGTTGATCGAATGGAACAGTGGAGAAAAGTAAAGGAGAGAGAGTGAGTGAGAAGGAAAGAGAGAGACATTGCCGAGAGTGAACTCTCAAAGTTCACTATACCTCAATTGAAATTATCCTGATTGAAGCAGTAGCAGAAGCACACTTCCTAGCAAATTTAGAAACCGAGAGAATGCGCGAAACTTTACTGCTGCTTTTGATAAGGGAACTGAAAGTTTCAGACTAAAAAATCAGATTTTACGAACTACTGCGTGCCTTTTAATATTTTTTTCATCCTTATATATATGTACTCTGTAAAAAAGTTTAAAATTTTAACTCTTAATAGGATTCTATAAAAGTCGCACCTTTTTGGAGTTATAATAAAAGGAGTCAAATTTTAATTCTCTAAATTTTACTCCTTGTGCTGTAAGTCCAAATAACTCTAGTTACCATCAATGTAACTGCGAAATAACTCTCAAAGTTTAATTCACTTCTAACATACATACTAAATTTTTATCTCGAAAAATTTTACTCAAATTGCTAACGCAATAATACAAAAAATGTGAATCAAATCATAAGCTGTTTACTGCAAATTTTATTAGTTCAGAATGTCGGTAGGGGTAAAATAAAATTTTATTATTTTGTGACCAAAATTTTTTGTACAACAGGTCAGACCGGTAAACCCTATACTTATTATATTAGTTTAAGAAGTATGATTTAATTTTAGTGAGGCAGAAAATATTTTTTGATTTATTATGTATTTCGAACTGACAGTTTTTCTAAGGATATCAATTGATATCCATATATTATATATCCATATATTCATATTGATATTTTATATTTAAATTGAGACAGAAAACGTAACAAAATTGTTGCGATGTAATGTTTTAAATGTTTTAATACATCAATGGTCTCAATTTAAGAATCTTAGAAAAACTAGGTTTGGATAATTATTTAAAACATAATTGTATGAATATATTAAATTACAACATAAAGTAATAATTTGAAAAAAATTCTTGAAAAATACGAAATATTTCAATCACATTTCTGGAACATTCTATTGAATGAAAATAATGAAATACACTGAGAAAACAATATTCTCGAATCAAACATAATTATTTTTGTTAATTATTTTTGTATACAGTCAACCAAAAATTATTTTTGAATTATAAGTGTGCATTAGATTTTCATATTTTAGTACCTAACAATTGGAATCTAGAAATATCGCAAACCTATGAAAATAAACAAACGCCTTCTATTAGTTTGGGGCACTTATGTCTGTTTTTTAACAGTTTTTTAATTAAGGGTGGATTTTTTGGGGGGTCGCGCAGGTTCTAACCTTGTGGAAATTGTTTAGTATATTTATTGAGGATTTTTAAAAATATTTTGAGTCAAAAATTTTCACACCTTCTATTAGTTTGGGGCACTTATGTCTATTTTTAATCGTTTTTTAATTAGGGGTGGAATTTTTGGGGAGTCGCGCCGGTTCTTACCTTGTGGAAATTGTTTGGTATATTTATTGAGAATTTTTAAAAATATTTTGAGTCAAAAATTTTCACGCCTTCTATTAGTTTGGGGCACTTATGTTTATTTTTAATCGTTTTTTAATTAGGGGTGGATTTTTTAAGGGGTCGCGCCGGATCTAACCTTGTGGAAATTGTTTGGTATATTTTTAAAGAATTTTTAAAAATATTTTGAGTCAAAAATTTTCACGCCTAATAGTGATATTTAATATTTTATTATTATGCATATATGTTATTTGGAAAGGGGTTGTTTTTCACCCCCAATATTAAAATTTTGATAATTTTTTGTTAGATATTTGTTGTATTTACTGTTCTGAACAAGATTATTGCAGAAAAGTTCATAAATAAAAGAAAAAAAATTTCGTTCAAATGAACTTTCAAAACTTTAGGGTCCTTGCCTGCACAGAAAAAAAATGTATTAAACTTCTTGCGTATAGTTTTCAGATGGTGTTATTTTAACACAACTCTAGTATTATTTTAACACACAAAAAATAGATATTAAATTAACCCGCTCTAGTGTCAATTTAACACATTCTAGTGTTATTTTAACACCAAATGTAGTGTTAAAATAATTTTTCTTTTCTTGTGTGTTCTCTCTCTACTGATTTTAATTTTTAAGACATTTGCTCATTTTCGACATTTTTTATCATTATTTTAGCATTAATATTGATTTTAAGAAAATAGAGAAAAATTAATCTTTTTGTAAAATCCGATTTAAAAATTAATACAATTCTTTTGTGTAGGAATCATTTATTGCATAATTTTTATTTTTTAGCTTCTTTAAGGAAAAAAAATGTTAACAAATATCCCAATTTTTTTTTAAATAAATAACCAATATTTTAATTTCATATCATAATTTTTTTAAAAGTATGGAATTTATACCAAATTGTACTAAATTATACCAAATTGATACCGAAAATTTAGCACGATTTTTTATTTGATCCACGTTTTTGGTATTAATTCGTTGCAATTTGATAATTTCGAGTTAACAGTAATCCTTACGAATTAAAAATCATAAATTATAATCGTAAAATTTAGAAAACTTTTTATCAATATAAAGATAAAATTTTTTAATTCGTATCTGCCTAAACTATTCATAATTTTATCATTTTTTATTATGTTAGATAATTATATAAATAAAAACTATTTGGATTAAATATCAAAATAAAATTCAAAGTGAAAGGCCGAATTTTAAAAATGTAAAATAAATTACACAATCACATCAGAAAAATTTATTTCTATAAATATTTATATGAATATGATATTTCTTGATAAACTCACTCTGATAATGTCACTGGATTCTGTCACAGTATCTTGTCCGGCCATTATTCTACAGCCTTCGCTTCTTCTGCAAAATAAAACGATTTCTACATTTATTTATTTTTTAAAACGGATAAAAAGTAATAGAAGTAAAAAAATATATTACTTTACATTATCTAATGTTAGAATATTTTTTAATTAATTCATTTATTATCAATTTTTAATTCGAAAAGAATATCCATATTCCAGAAATATTAATAATAAGAAATTGTAATGAAATTTATACTATTCGGTTTAAACAATAGAAAAATAAAGTTAAAAAGAATTTTTATTAAATGAAATAAATTTTGTTTTTGTGGAATTTGTTTAAAAAAAAAGAAAATAGAGAGTCGAAAGTGGAGTGCTTATGAAAAAGGAGGAGCACATAAAGTAGTCGAGACGTAGCGTAATATGGAATATGTAGTACGCGCACCTTCGGGGCAGGGTGACTTTCCAATTTGGATTTGTATAATGGAAGGCAATAAGCGGTGCCGCCACTCTTACGAATGAGTGCTCGTTTTACTTGCCGATCCCCGAGGAGAGAGAGAGACGAAAACGAAAATTGCGGCGCATCGCGATAGCAATACCCAACCATCGACTATGTATATATCTATCAGCAAAAATTACGGCGAAAGTTTGTTGCTTCACTTCCGGTCACGTATTTGTTACATTCGTAAATTTATATAATCAACTTTATACATATATTTTTTTTGTCGATAACATAATATATATATTTTTGAGATAAAAACGTCATTTCCATTTCGAAGGAGAAGGACTATTTTATCGATATAATATATATTTTTTAAACTAAAAATTAACTAAGCAATGAAACAAATTAATACATGGAAAAACAAGAAAAAAATTAACTGGAAAATTAGTAAAGTTAATGCAGTAGTAAACGATAAATTTATTGTTTACTACTGATTTTAACTCACACATTTTTGTGAATTTTTGTGCATGTTAAAATTAACGTCTCAGTAGTAACAATTAATTTTTGTCAGAAATATTTTTTAATAAAATTAATACTTTTCTAAAAATAATAATTGTCTGCATTACCTAAATTCCAGGTGTCTGAGAATCAGTAATAAAAGCCAGTTAAGTCAGACAAGAATTTATACCGTCAATTAAAGCATACATATAGAATCAGTATATCTCTAAGAAAAGTTTTTAATTTGAAAATTTTTTATTTGAATTGTAAATAAATTTTAATTTAGTTTCAGTGAGACACTTTTGATCTGAATTATTTCAATAATTTTCTAAGTAGTATAAGTCAGCTTTCAGGCAGCCGAAAGTAAGTATTTAATTTTCTTGTTCTGAATTTTGGTGTCTAGCAACGTTTAAAAATATTAACTAGATTTAAGTCTTTTTATAAATCTTTTTTCTTTCTTTTATAAACTTTGAAATCACCACTAATTTTAATATAAAACCTTAAAAACTTTCCAATTTAAAATTTCAGAAATTTTAAATAATATTTGAATTAAAAATTATGAAGAAATCAGTTTTTAAAAATTTTTTATTCAAATTGTTTTGAAATTGATTGAATTTTTTAAAATATATTTTTTAAAAATAAATTTTAATTAATACACTGCAAGCCCGATCAGCGGTCAGCTCCGGGGGTGCTCGACCGCTGATCGGGCGTAAACATATAGGACCGTACGAACTGTTTTATGATGGGTTACCATTACTTGACTACTGAATTTTTTTTTAAGGGGCCAGAGCGTCTTTAATGTATACGCTACTGCCACAACTTTTCGACTCCCTTATGGCCCCTCGCCCGCCTCATCTACAAACGACGTAAACAAGTGACCACTGATCGGGTGACCGCTGATCGGGCTTGCAGTGTAATTGAAATTTTGTAAAATTTGAATTGAGGCCTTGGATCGAATAACTCGCCCGACGCTCGGAGGCACGCGCTAATACCAGTCGGGTAGCAGTGAGTGGCCCAGAATCTTGAAAGCGTTATTTGCGTCGATTTAGACACGACACGAATTTTTCGTGAAAGTCCCTGATTTAAATAATGCAATATTTTTCGGAAAAAATTTGTTTCTTGAATAAAATGTAATTAAAATTTTTTTAAAATAATTGTATTTCCGAAAATAATTTTTAAAAATTGAAACAATTGAAAATTTTGTTAAATTTCATTGAAATAAATTTGTACATATATTTTAATGAATTTTATTTGGTGATTTAATAAATTATTTTGAAATATAATCGTATATTTTTGAAGAATTCTAATTAAAAACTTGGAAAATAATAATTTAATTTTAAAAAAATTTAGAATTAAACTTATTAACAGGACTTATTATATTTTTCCAGTGCGTGGTACTCGAAATGTTCAATTATTTAATCAAAAATATCTTACATTCAAGTTGTTGTTAGAAATATCTTTGTAATTTCTACTCGAGTTGTTCTAATAATTTTTAAATTTTTAAATTTCAAGAAAAACTATTGAAGGTGAAAGAAGTTAACAATTTTTCCAAATCAATCTCACAAATAAATCTCTTAAATAAATCTCTTAATATAAGCTCATGGGTTTTATATGTATCGACAGCACAGCTGTCGTGGGCTCATATCCCACCATGCTACCGTTTTTTCTGAGCTCTTTGATAATTTTAAAATTATTAATTAATTTCGAAAATATTTTTCAGATTAATCAGGTTTCTGTATTAGGGCAGCTGTGCTGTCGATACATATGAAACCCATGAGCTTATTAAGAGATTTATTTGTGAGATTGATTCGGAAAAATTGTTAACTTCTTTCACCTTTAATATTTAATTACCGAATGATAAATTCATTTCCTTTAATTAAAGAAAAACTGTTAGAAAAATTATATTTTTTTAAAAATGAAGAATTTTCATTAAATTTCAAAAAGAAACTCTTTTAAAGTAACAATAACAACGAAAATTTCACTCGTGCTTGTTCGCGTGTAGTTATGCTAGTTTTCAAAATAATTAAATTTTATATTATAATAAGTGATGCGCTCACAACTTTTGTAATGATATTGTAATGAGTCAATTCCCCAATAATCAGACAGAGAGAGCATCCGGATCAGGGAATTGATCACTCCCCAATGGGAAGTAAACGATTGGTTCAATAATGGGCCATGCTTGGCGAACTCCGTTCCATTATTGGAACATTAATGGCAACCATCATTGGACCACCAATGGTTTAAACTTGGGATGATCACGCTACTGCCAATGATCGGTAGCCAAGCATCGGGCCATTATTAGTTGCCAAGGAATTGCCAAGGAAACAAAATCGATTTTCAAAAGCTTGATTTTTTATTGGCAGCCAACAAAAAACCAAGGTTTTGAAAATTGATTTTTTTTAATTATTAATTAAAATTTATTTTTAAAAAATATATTTTTCAAAAATTTGTTTTAAAAAAATATATTTTTTAAAAATATATATTTTTTTTAAATTAATAGAACATATTAATTTAATTTGCCACCTCTGGTAAAACAAAGATGAAAGACTGATAAATTCCCTCACTTTATATCTTACAGTGAAGGGATAACTGTGAATGTCTTTGCGAGAGAGGAGCAAAGGTCACAAGCGAGAAGAAATCACTAGCATGCACTCTGGCGGCGCTTGACGGAACTGTTTTCTGGCGCGCATGCATATCGCGACATTATCGACACAGCGCTTGGCAACCAACGTTGCGCCACTTCCGACAAGCGCTGCCAGAGTGCATGCCAGTGATTTCTTCTCGCTTGTGACCTGTTACACTGGCTCTATAAGTACCTGCTCCACTCTTGCAAAGACATTCACAGTTATCCCTCCACTGTAAAATATAAAGTGAGGGAATTTATCAGTCTTTCATCTTTGTTTTACCAGAGGTGACAAATTAAATTAATATGTTCTATTAATTTAAAAATAAATTTTAATTAATACACTGCAAGCCCGATCAGCGGTCAGCTCCGGGGGTGCTCGACCGCTGATCGGGCGTAAACATATAGGACCGTACGAACTATTTTATGATGGGTTACCATTACTTGACTACTGAATTTTTTTTTAAGGGGCCAGAGCGTCTTTAATGTATACGCTACTGCCACAACTTTTCGACTCCCTTTTGGCCCCTCGCCCGCCCCATCTACAAACGACGTAAACAAGTGACCACTGATCGGGTGACCGCTGATCGGGCTTGCAGTGTAATTAAAAAAAATCAATTTTCAAAACCTTGGTTTTTTGTTGGCTGCCAATAAAAAATCAAGCTTTTGAAAATCGATTTTGTTTCCTTGGCAACTAATATTGGCCCGATGCTTGGCTACCGATCATTGGCAGTAGCGTGATCATCCCAAGTTTAAACCATTGGTGGTCCAATGATGGTTGCCAATTGTTTTGCCAAGAAAAAACCATTGGGCACCAAGCATGGCCCATTATTGAACCAATCGTTACCATTGGCAACTTCCCGTTGGGTCCCTAGAATAATTATTCTATTGTTGTTTATAACACTTTTCCCGTAGAGCTGAGTCTACGCGTTTGTTGTGCTCTCCTCTCAAATCTGAGATCATTTGTGAAGTTACCATTCATTTGATATGGACTAGATACCACCTGCCTTTCTGGTCTTCGTTGCAGAGGAATCGCATATCTTTTGATTTGTAAACTAATATTTTTATTATTTATATGCACTTGTGTGAATCTATAAATAAATTATAAAGTTATTTGTTATATTAAATTTAATTAATTTATAAAATGCCCCTGCAACATTCACCAACAAATCCCAATGCGTCACAATATAGAGAAGAATTTTGATGAATAATCTTGAAAATAATGCTAATAAGTTTTCAAACTTACAGTAGTGTGAATGAGATTAACTAATTTTTAACTCTTTAAATAATATAATTTACTTAATTTATTACTTGAATTTACTTTATGTTTTGACGAAGCCAAATAGGGCTCATGGAACTGGAAACGCAAACCCGGTGCTCTGGCGTAGAGCTAATAAATAATTATAACGTAATAATTAAGTTGATTAGTATAAGGTACTTTAAGGGTTGCGTTTTTTAGTTGTAAGTGAAATTGTATGTTTAGGTTAAGTAGTTTTTA